CCAGCCACAGTGAACGCCCCTTTAATGGCAGAATTGCACCCCAGCCACAGTGAACGCCCCTTTAATGGCAGAATTGCACCCCAGCCACAGTGAACGCCCCTTTAATGGCAGAATTGCACCTCAAATCACGATGAATTTGTATTTGCACCCTCTTGTACAGAAAGGTTGAAGGTGCTGTTCACTTCTGGAAGGACGTGGGATATTTTTTTTGGTTCGGGTTTCAAGACACCTGAAATAATGTCATACTTGTCAAAGCCCGGCAAGGGTTATTGAGCTGAGGTTGCGCCTTTAATTTCACTGGGGACATTTTGTATTTCCCCCCCCCCCCTTCCTGGTAGCCCCACATCATCGAGGCCTGTGCCTCAAGTCATGGCACAGCATCTAAGACGGATGAATCCTTCGATGACGGCTCCCGTAACCACGGGAAACCGCAACGTTACCGTGCAGGGGGCCGTGCGAATGCGTAGTGTGGTGCTGCTGCACACCGTGTGCTCGCCCCCCCCATGGTGTGCGTCCACAGGGGGTGGGCTCGCTTCTCCCGAATGTTCTGAGCGCTGTGATGCCCACTCCTGTCCTTTTTTGGCTTTTGTTTGTCTGAGTACAGTTTTGTATGTAAATTATATATAAAGTGAATCAAATTTGAAGGTCATGAATGAAGAGAAATCATGTCAATTTCAAAAGTCCCTCTTATTTGTATGGAATTGTCACTTTTTTTCTATATATTAAAGTGTGCTGGATTTGCACTGGCCTGCAGTTGTGTCTGCTCCCCTATTGCAACTGATATCTCTGAAGTTGTCACAGTATGTGATTGCGCGCTTGCGTGTGTCTCCTCACTTGTGTCCAGTGCCATTTGGGATAGACTCTGGGCCCCGTCGCCTCAACCAGAATATGTGGCCGAATGTTGGACTAAATTTTCAACTGATGTAGTTGCGAATTACACTCCTCAGGTTTACCTCGACCGTCCAAAGGTGTTTCCATAATAGCCTGTAACTGTGTGGCATCCTGTATAGGGTGGAGTCCAAATTCAGTGACCCAATGTTTAGGATTTTAGATCTACAGGCAGGTACAGGTCGCTGTCGACATGACTGATCGACTTACGAGCATTTCGAGGCCGCAAATACATGGCCGCATCTGGCAGCGCGAGTGTAGCCCAGAGTCAATGACGGTTTCCGGTCCGACTGCCGGTGTTACGGGAAATTCATGTCTTTCTATGAAGCTTTTGAGGTAAACAAGCCATATATTTT